ACGTGCCACAGAACATCTTTCCTACTCATCTCATCTTCAAGAACGGGGACATTTCCTGGGCTGCAAGATCCCCTGGCCTTTCAGTGTGCGATTTCTTCCTTTGGGGTCATTTGAAGTTCGAGATCTGCTATGACCCACCACACACCATCTAGGAACTCAAGGATCAACTCTGGGAGGAAGTTAATCAAATTCCAGTGCCAGTCCTACAAGATGTAATGTTGTCTAACTTCCGTAAAAGACTTGATATGTGCATGAAGGAAAATGGAGGCCCCATACAAGATGTTATTTTTAAGTGAAGGAAATTTTTTACCATAACATGTCTGTGCAAGGTGCGCAAGTTGTTCAGAAGCATTCTTCACAAACTGCGAGCATTCTAAATTCATGCTGTATTTCTTTTATATTGCTGTGAATAAATTTGTGTCCCTGGTGGAGGTTTCAAAATCAATCGTATCGCTGCTGCACCTGATATACAGTCAAAAGTCGTTAATCTGGACTCGTCGGGACTTCGGCGATTCCGGATTATCGATCATCAGTTTAAATCTCGTAAGATGGCATGCAGAAATTCTAAAATTAAAAATATGAAACCGTAATTTATGAAATAAAGAACAATTATGATCTAAAGGGTATCAAAATTTGAAAAAAGAAAAAGGTTAATATTTATTTGTTTACTTTATTAAACATTTCTTTCAATGTAAGTTGTTTAAGTTTTGCTTCGTTTCATGTGATAATACTTTCTCTTTGATTCTATTAAACAGACATAATTTCTTGTTCAGTTACAAAGTTCCGCTTTTCAAGTCCTATAATTGCTGTGTCGAGAACACCGACTAATTTGTCAATCGAAATTTTTTCGTTTTCAATAACCTCTGTCACTTTCTTCGCTATCGGAAGCGAATTATAATGATGAGGAACTTGTTTTAAATCATATCAAAGACGGAGAGCATATCGAGATGAAATACTACATTTGGTAAGGAATTATAAGCCAAATAAAATAAAAACATCTGCGCTGAAGATAAGGATAGTGCTGACAGATCAACTTCCAATTCATTACCCGCCCGCCGCGGCGTTCCCCCCGCCGAGTAGCGTGAAATTGATAAACAGATTTCGGATTTCAAAACATACTTTCGCTTTAGATCCTTTACATATTAACAAATATATATCGGAAATTCTATTTGATATAATCGAAAGTTTATGCTTACTTTTATAAAACTTCTCTTACAGTCTGCAAAAATAATAAGCCGGATCCAATTCGAAAATTAATGAACAACGTAATCACCAACATTAACTGAAAAAGATGATTAGATAATTTTAGCTTATACGTTCATTATACATAAAACGCGCACGCGAAAACCGTATTCTGAACTTGCGCACACTCATAAACGCCTATGCGCATGTGTCAACGCGGCGCATGCGCAGAAATTTTTTAGTTTTGAGGTCCGGATTATAGATCATTCCGAATTATGGGTGTCCGAATTAACGACTTTTGACTGTATAGATCATCAACGCATAAGAAACCTTTCATAGAAATGGGAAGTGCAGAATTAATTTAAAAATGGTTAACACTCAGCACACTCCCTTGAAGTACACCTTTCTCTTGATAAAAATCTTCAGATAACAGCCAGTATTAATGTTAAAAGTTCTAGCCTTCAAGAAGTTTTGTATCAAAACCAGCAGACTGTCCCACATTTCACTGCTATAAAGGTCACAGAAGGTACTTTATCTCCAGGACTTACACCTCTTCAATATCACATAAGACTGATACCAAATGATTCCTTTTAAGAGAGGCTTTACAGATAGATGTCTCTAAAGGCAGAAAATTGGCAACAGTTGATCTTCCTTTTCGGAAATCACTCAAAAATGAAGTTCTTTTCTCCAGACTATTGTAACGATCCTCAGGTTTGAAGAAACTTAAGGACTCCATGGGTCCACTGAATGACCGGAAAGTAATCAGCAAAAGAAACTCGTTAAGGACACCCCCCCTTGTGTGGTTTTCTTGCTATGAAAATGTAAAAGAAAAGGATAATTTTCTTTTCAGCTTTATATATATAAAATAAATAAATAAATAAATAAATAAATAAATAAAAAAAAACATAGGAGAAGTCGTACCAAGCGACTGTCTGAGGCACATCAAGCAGAAGCTTTGCCTGTTATTGCTGTACTGTGATGATGTTTTATTTATGTCTAACCCAGAAATCGTTAAGTTTTAAAATAAATATTTAAAAGACCGTTAGTTTGATTACTTTCCATCTCTAAGTTCACTTGCGGTACACTATTATTAATTTACTCCAGAAGTTCATATAAGCAACTGATTCCGCAGTTGGGCTATAATTAGATCAATTCTTTGGGTCCAAAGAATTTTCAAATGCCTTTCTCCAGGCATTTGGAAATGTCTCCTGCCTCCATATTCTATTATTTAAAGTGAGAAGAGTAGCTAAAAATTGCTCTGACAGATATCTGATTCCATTAGGACTTGGGCTTGATTTACGTGTCTGCAACAGTGTTTTTCTTAGCATTGCGAGATCACAGTTATAAGTGTCAGAGTTAAGAACATTAAATTTGATTGGAACGTTTTCATATTGAAATTTGTAAGACAGAAAGGCTAAAAGACTGCTACGAGTACCTGATGTGGCAGCAAATTCTTCATCTAAAGTGTATTTTCCCTCTGTTACTAATAACCCGATTATTCTTTGCAAGAATGGATAAGGAACAGCTTTAATAGATCTCCGAGAGCTTATGCTCTCAAACTTAATTACTTTGCATGTTTGATGTAATCCATGACACGAATTAAATACATGACAACAGCTGAGTCATCTGCAAGCTCTTTGTGCTTTTCTTTTAGCTTTCTTATAAGCAATGAGATTTGTGTAAGTTAGGTATTGGCAAAAAATATATCATGCCTTCTTTTTTCTCTACTGGTTTCCTGACATTTTTCATTCCAGCATGGCTTTGGATGCTTCGAGGATCTTCCAGAGGACTGAAGTATTGAGAGCTGAGCATCCTGTATAATGTCCTTGGAAATGGCCTTAACAGTTTGATTGATCCTTTTATTATCTACCATCTCTAATGTTAACACTGACTAAGAACAGGAGAGTTCACAGTCTGTGTGATCCAAGAGGAAATGTGTGGGTCTCAAAATAGAATGAAGTCCACTTCCTTGAAAAGATAGAAGAATTGGAAAGTAGTCACGACTCAAAATGTCCTCTCCTACTTTGAATGAGTAGTAGGAAAGAAAAGATGGTGAACAAACAGCTAGATTAACAGCCTGAAACATCCTTCTCGGCTGGTGAAAGTATGTATTTTTACCATTATTAAGAAGGCAAAGATGATTTTCAAGCAGTTGTTCCATTTGACTCTTCGCAAGTTAGTACAGCCACTTCCACACAAAGGGTTATGACCATTAAAATATGCACAAACTCAGAAAGCTGGCAGCAGCTGCCCTGCCAAACATCCAGTGTGTGTTCTTCAATTAAATCCTCTGGTGTCAGATATAAACAACAAATAGTAATTGAAGTATTACAACTTAAAGATCAGTTATTAGAGAGATACATGAAGATGGATAATAGTGCAAGAAAACCACACTGTAATATAGAAAGGTGGTATTTCTGCAATACTGTCTTTATGTAACTAAGCTGTTATTTATTTTGCTACTTTTATTTATATATTTTCAACATATTACGCAATTTCTTATAAGTCCGGAATGCATCGGTGAATCTTTCAACAAATTCACATCATAAATTAATGAAAGTCACCAGTCTATAGAAGATGTTGGTGTATTTAATTATGGCAAAGCACACGAGAGCTATCTGCCTAAGGGGAGGGATGCCTTCGTGGAGGACTTTCTAAGGGAAACTGGCTCGTATGCACGTTACACATAGGTAAAACCACGAATACTCATGCTGCCAGCCAACCAGTTCGCGGGATTCGAACCTCGGACCGAACTAGCAGTGTTCAGCAACTTTACCGCTCGGCCGCTAGTCGGCTCCAGTCTATAGAAGAGAAGCACCCTCTAATGGTATCACAAATTAATTATTTTTTCAGTTTTCTCAACACCTTTCAATAAAATTTTTCTTCTTTTTATGCAATCAATTTCTTCCTCAATACTTTTCCTCTTTATTTGACAATTTTCTGACTTAATCTCCACTTTTTTTTAAAAAAAATACATTTTTGCAGAATGTGTAGAAAACACAGTAATTTTATTTCTTTAATAATATAAGCATTCAGAATAATTCTGCAATGATATATATCATGAATATTATGAAGGTTTAAAAAAAGTAGAAAAATTTACAAATCACTGAATAAAAAATTTTATACACAAACTGGCTTAAATTCACCAAAATATTGGTAAACTGCCAAATTTAGCAGCACATAACAAAAGAATTCGTATCCCCAAATGAAATGGAAAATACTCCCCAAATGGAAAAAGTTTTCTTTCTTTAATGTTTAGGAATTCTTCATTATAACAAAAAATAATTTCCAAATGTTAATGCTTCCATAGAAGTAGTCTTTTGCTCAGAAACACAAGTATCCATCATTTAATCAGAAATAGGAATGAATTCAAACAATAACCCATTATTTACATATTTTTCAATGGATCGCCCACACTCAAAATGGCAATCGAAAAAAAGGGGGGGGACGGAAATCAAGTAAGTAAATAAAATCAAGATCTTTTGCCAATTTTGGCCGAAATTAATGACTTAGGAAACAAAAATCATTTCCAGAAAAACCTATGGACTTTAAGGACCACATGAACCTTGTTCAAGTCTTTTTACTATCAAATTGTATGTTTTACTTGATTGTTTATTACTTTTGCCACTATAGTAAAAAATTATGTGACCGAAAGTTAATTATATTTTGAAGGTTTAATTTTTTGATTCATTTCTTAACTGAAGAACATTGTGCACATTTATGGCTAATGGTACAAACCATCATTTATTAAAAATAATAATCCTACACAAAAATCTTACTTAATGCATGCACAAAATAAACATTTGAGTAAGCTTTACCTTGGACTCCACAATGTCTATCCTAACATTTTCTGGTTTAACTTGCTTGACAAGAATATTGAGAATGACATGCGTCTCGGTTTGATACCAATCATACCTAAAAATAATTTATAAGAATTAAAAATTGATAAATAATACTTATAGTTAATGTAAAAGAAAGGGGAAAAAAAATGGTATCTCCTAGTTAAAGTGGCTAGTGCCATTTCCATCCACTTTGGAGACACCTGAAATTTACATGTAACATGGTGATTTTATTTTCCAATATTAGCAACTATGTGCTGTTATACGTTAACAAAAAAGTAGCTAACTTGAGACTGGGATAGATTTTAAACAAAACTCTTGCCCTTTGCCCTTCAGCCAATTTGATACAAAACTATTCTCCCCCCCCCAAAAAAAAAGAGATTACCTACAAAATATCATCACAAAATCTCCAGTTTAAAATTGATGACAAGATGGGGTTCTTTTTATCTTAGTTTTAGATTAACATTTTACTTCTAGTAAGCTATAGTTATTCCTTCTAAGTAATTTCCTCTTAACCGTTTTCAAAATATCTTCAAAATGAAGCCAAAAACAAAAGGCAACTAAAATTTTTCATAATGATATTTTAAAAGCATCCTCAACAAAGATTTTCAACATTAGTAACATTGTGCTCCTACAGCAAAATTTATCCCAGTCTTCTCATTTTTTCATTAATCCAATGCTTTTTTCTCTTTTTACTTACAAATAATTAAATATATTAACTGGAATGAGAAAATAAACACGCTGGAGTAAAAAAAAAATCAAATGTGAAATACAAGCACATAGAAATGAAACAAAGAGTAATTAGATAGGTCTAACTAAAACTATACATAAGAAAACATTGGTGGCATAGCGTAGGTTTTGGGCCGCCTGGGGTAGCTACTAAATTTGCTACCCCTCTTCATCAGTAATAAAGATAATATTTTCTAGAGAAAAATGGTACGCAGCAAAGATGTTTTCCTTCCTCTAAAATTTAAAATTCTTAAAAACAAGAAAACAAAATTTAATTGTTAAAACATGCTTAGATTTCTAATATTAATAAATTATCATTCTAAAAATGGTATCCTAATTTAAGAAAATTTATTGTTAATTGAAAACTGTACACCCGTCATGCAGTTTGGCAGTTATTTTAACCCTAAACTCACAATTACATGTGTTAAATTAAGCATACACATAGACGTATACAAATGGCTTGGTCCTCAGCCCGTGTTATCACTGGTTCTCGGCGTGTTTGGTTCTATTTCACAGGAGCCAAAATACGTGGCAAGTGCATAAAGAGAAAGTACACTCATGGACAAAAATATTAGCGCACCAAGAAGGAGTCGTTAAAATGAAACGAAATTTTACATACGCAATGACTACTTTGATATAAGTAAATGATAAGAAAATCAAAGAAAAAGGATAATTTATTTCAGAGAAAAAGGCAAAAGAACGGAGGAGTTAATACTCCGTTGGACCCCCTCTAGCGCGAATGCACGATGCAATACGATCGGGCATTAAGTCATACAAGTTCTGTATGATGCCTTGAGACATTTCGTTCCATTCCATATTTGCTGTAACCTTGCCTCTAGTTCGTTCAAACTCGTGGGATGCCCAACTCGTCGCCCTAAATGATCCCAGATATGCTCGATTGGAGACAAATGTGGGGATTGGGCAGGCCAAGGAAGGGTAGTAACAGTGCGGAGGCAGTCTTGTGACACCCTTACCGTATGATGCTGAGCATTGTCTTGTTGAAAAATGGTTCCTGGGAGCCGTTGCATGAGTGGCAATACATGTGGTTGCAAGGATTTCATGAACATACCGCTTTGGCTTGTCATGGTGCCACAGAACAATACTGGGGGTGACCGTATATTGTAGGCAATGGCACCCCATACCATCACACTAGCTGTGGGAGCAATGTGTCGCTGTGCAGCAAAGGCAGGATTGAGGCGTTCACCACGGGCTCTCCACACACAAACACGATTGTCATCACTACCGAGATTGAATCTGGATTCGTCGCTAAAGACAACCTGGTGCCATTCCACTGCAGTTCAGTTTCCTCATGCTCTACACCACTCCAAATGGAGGCATAGATGGGTGGGCATCAAGGGCAGCACACATAATGGGCGCCACAACACCAACTGTCCTTCAGCCAGGCGCCTTCGTATGGTTCAAGAAGACACAGGGGCCCCTAGTGAAGGTACTATCTGTGCCTGGATGGCGGCCAATGAAGCAGTTGGCTGTACGCGTGCAGTTCTTACGATGTGGTGGTCTTCTCGACAACTGGTCTGTCGAGGGCGTCCTGAGCCTGGTCTTCGTGTACATGATAACTCTCAGGTCCACTGGTCTCAACACCTCCTCACAACACAATCAGAGGGCCTAATTGACGAGCTACTCACCTAGCTTCCATCATCCCGACGATTCTCCCCCTCTCAAACTGCGACAACTACTCATATTGTTTTCGAACACGGCGTAATGGCATGTCTACCTCAGCTCTTCCTTAGTAAATGATTCAGCACACTCAAACAAGCTTTGGTTACCTGTTTTATACTCCACAGAGTATGACATTTGTTGTGTAGCGAATTTGTCTGATAGCGTTATAAAAACTAGGTGAATGATTTTCTGATTTATGGAAATTTTAATTTTATTTGATTCTGAATTATTTACTTTAATGCTTTAATTTTGGGGAAAAACAGATGCTTCTGGGAATATTATTTACTTTAAAAGAATATTATTTATTTTCCTTTATTTGCAAATCTTGTACAAGCTTTGATTCATTGTGAAAAGAAACAGGGAAAGGGAAGCAATTTTTTGCCAAGTCATGATTTTGCGCGCTTTGTCCTTTAGAATGTTCTAGAAGGATTTTCATTGTGTAGTTGACCTTAAGAGAGGAAGTACGTGACAAAAAGATCAAAGGTTGATACTTGTCTTTCAATGTAAGTCATTCAGGTTTTTGGCGATTGAGGGTCCGGTTGTTGGCTAAGTGAAGAAGGGCGCGCATGCACGATCACCCTTATTTCCGCATTCTGGGGTTGAAAACGCAAATTTTGCCAAAATTAAGGGGGCGATAAGTGAAGCCAATAGTGGGAGCCCGCGTTTGTGAAGGAGACGAAGGAAAATTCGAGTTGGATTCACTCACTTACTGGGCTTGAACTGGACTTGTTGCACGTTACTCTTGAAAACTTGCTTGAAAGCGATAGAAAGGATGTAATTTACGAAGAGAGAGATGTTTTCCCGGCGGGGAGCGGCAAATATGCTCCCCGGCCGCGTTTTGGTTAAGAGGCGAGACTTACTGACTGGCTTGTGGAACTTACTTTTGGACGGTTACTCGTTGAAGCTTGCTCTTGGGATGAGCAAGAACAGGCAAGCCGTAATTGCCTAGAAAAAAAACGTTTCTGGCCGGGAGCTGCAAACATGCTCCCTTGCCGCGTTCTGGTAAAAAGGCGAAATTGAACCGGGGGAGGGACTTAAGACTTTCAAGACCAGGCGGATAGCCGTGCTGGGCAGCAGTGCTCCTGTTTCTGTTTTACAGACTTAAAAATAGCTTCGTCATTATGAAAACCAGTTACCTGTGTGTTGACTTAAGACTTTCAAGACCAAGCGGATAGCCGTGCTGGGCAGCAGTGCTCCTGTTTCTGTTTTCCAGACTTAAAAATAGCTTCGTCATTATGAAAACCAGTTACCTGCGTGTGTGTTTTCGCAAATAGTGTCCGGACAGGACGATGTCTTCTGAAACTTCCATTTTGTGACCGTAAAGATGAGCCCCGCCGACGTCAATGCTTATTAGGATACGAGTCCTCCACTTCAAGATGTCCACCCAAGATAAGTTTTATTTTTTTTTTGTGTTTGAACTTTAAGTAAGTTAAAAACAACGTCGAATCTTAAATTAATTCTCAGGTCTTCAATTGTTTCCCTTTCCCCTTTTAAATTACCAAGACAAACCTTAAGTTTTTTTTATATGAATTTAAATGAAAAAAAAAAAAGTAAATGACAAATTGAAGAATTCTCCTTAGACTCTCTGATGAGGATAAGATTTTATTTTATTGTGATGTAATTGAATAAACTGATATTTAATCTGGAAACCTATTACAGTATGTTTTCTTTCTTTATATATTTAATATGTTTTTTCCTATATATCTTGTATATGTTTTTCTTATGTTTTCGATCCTCTCACGGCGCGGTCCCGGGATGCAATTTTTACAACGCAAATGCATTAAAATTCACTATACGATCACTAAAAGTTTGGTAATTAGCAAATTCTTAAGAGTTTAGTTTCCTCCCTAAGAGGAAGTAGAAACCTTTCACGGCAAGTAGTTTCTGATTTAACACTGGTGCCGTGAAGTAAGCTTCATAACATTATTTCCCGGCGTGAACTTAAGCTACATAACACATTCAATGCCCTCTACCGGCTATATGTAATGCACAATCATGCTGCATTTCTAATCATTTGCACATCTCCCCGACATTTACCTTCATTGCAAGTTTCGTTACGATCCCGCAATTATTTCTTGGTGCGCTAATTTTTTTGTCCATGAGGGTACCTTGAAAATTATGTAAACTTTATTAACCCTTTGACGCGTGGTGGTCGCACCCTGAAACCACAAATTTTCGAATTTTTTTCTCTTCTTCCTTCCAAAGTTTTTGAGTAAAAATCATTTGATTACTGATCTTTTACCTCTAAATAACACAAAATGACTGCAGAATCATACATATTTTAGGTATTAGTACTTCAAATCGGATGTCTTTTAAAATTCGTTTTCAATGAGACAAAATCACTTCCTTTTATTAACATAAACAACTTTAAATTTCAAGTTATTCATCGCACATCATGACTTCTATCATAAACAATAAAAAATAGCAATAATTAAACTGCATATTAAAAAAACCCTCTATATATATGGCATTTGCTTTGTGGTTTCAGGGCACGACCACTGCACCACTATGTGCACCACTATGCACCACCACGCATTGTGACACAATGCTCTAGAGGCTCGGTGGTCGCGACAATGGCGTTTGCTTGCTTCTCAAATAGGAATGTTTGCTTTTACCTGGATATAGATAAGGGGTTTTGAAACCACAGAGTTATTTTATTACTAAACA